AAAATGTTATGTAATCGTGGTGTTTAAGGCTTTTTTTATTATGTAAACAGCTGCACATACATGTCAGAAAAAGGAGGGAATCTACAAGTAGAGATATGATAATGAGGCGTGTTTAATTTTAACACTAATTAAGAAATGACTAAAGTATTCCCAAAGCAGTCTCTAGCAAAATGCAACTGCAGCAATACTCCTTTACTGCAATTTGTTGGCTTGTGGCAAAAAACATCCAGTGAACCGTAGTGAAACTTGATATAACAGAGACAACATGAGTGAGAAGTTTGCGTTTCCCCAAAGGTCTAGAGTCTTTATCGCAGGAGGTTCTCCTTAGACAGGGCCTTTGGTTGGTCACAGTTACTCATCCTGGTTGTTTCTTTAAAACCAGAGTATCTCAAACATGCTTTTCCAGCAAACTGATTGTTGTCAGCCCTCATTTCAATCATCGTCCTCTTCATCAGAGTCCATCACTCGCCGTCTGTTAAACTGAAATAGCAAAAGTAGCCACAAAAACAATATTTGTGCTTTTGAAATATGAGCAGCTTCACATTTTGGAATCTGTTGCTACTGAAACTGACTGAAATATTGGAATTTATGATAAGAAGGTTTTACCTTGACAGTTGTCTTTTTCTCTGTTTGTTGGTTGACTTTCTCAAGGATCTCTATCAAACCGTTCTCTGTGATCTGAGAAGTGAGAGAGGATGAGCCTTAAATATTGTACATGCAAACACATACACCTACAGAGCATTGTTTTTGTATCTTCCTCACCTTTCCACCAAGCTGGCCAAATCGTGCCATTTGTATCAGGTAATTTTCAACTGCTTTTGCTTTGTCTGGCTTTACCAGTGCCAGGTTACTCACTGAAAGAAAAAAAAAAAGAAAGAATTTTGATGATTATTTTCAGAAGCACACCGCCACCTACTGGAGGATGGCTACATCAAGACTGTGAAGCAAAAGTTGACAATTCATGAATAATTTTAGATAGACACCAACCCTGATCCTGGAGTAGCTCTGCCCTGCATATGTAAATATTTTTCTGCTCCAACACACCCAGGAAGGGCTTGTGAAAGTCCTTATAAGAAAGTGTGTCCACTCTTGACAATGCCCCAGTCCAGTTATTTCAAGTCATACAAGACTGGGATCCTACCTCTTTAAATGGAGAGAGACTTACAAACCCAAAACTGGAACGTATATGAAATCCCTGGTAAAATCTGACAAAAATAGCATGAGCAGTTTGTAGTGTCTACCTATACTTACAAGGCTATCGGCTCTTTCCTTAATACAGCCGCTGCATTGAGCGTTAACAAGCCATCCCGTTCATTTTTCAATCAGTAAACTGTCTCCTAATGTTATATTGTTTCTGTTTTTAATTAATTAAATCTGATGTGTTAGACCAGAGAAACTTCAAAATACACAGGGGAACTCCATGACCAGACTTGGAATCAGTGGCATATAGATGTAGTGATGAAAATTAAATCAATTGGACTTACATCTGGCACGGGCCGACTGATCCAGGACTTGAGCCAATATAGAGTTCCTCATTTCTGTTTCTCTGTCAAAAGAAAATAACATTAATTCAATACAGAATAAAAATCATCTGTATAGCTGTGCTGATTGCCTATGACTGTTCTGACTGGCTGTACCTCTGCTTAGCTTCCTGTTGGCCTTGCTGATCACTGGAGTCCTAAAAAAGACAAATGCACTGCATTATAAAAAAAAATTAGTTACTTAAGAAACTCTAGTGAATTTCAGACAAACATTTCAATATTTTGATTCTAGTTAGCCCCTTTTCAGGTTTGTATTGTTCACAGTGTCATGCCTAAAAGCAAAGCTAATATGCTGTATATATTTTACATTTCGCAACACAATTGGCTTGCAACAAGAATAAGTGTTTGACCCAATAGGTCAAGGTGAGTGATAATAACTGAATGTCAGTATGTTCAAGCCTCTGGACAGCAATTTCCTGATGGAAAGTTACTCTTGAGTAACACATTGGCATATTTTTGAACATGGGTAATCTGTTACAATGATCTACAGTGAAACTGTTCATATCCAATAGAGAGTTGTACAGGTGTGCACACCTCATCCATATCCCATCTCTGACAATATGACAAACTTACATCAGCCTCATTCAGGGCAAAAATTCTCATTTGCACTGTGCTCCACAAGCCAGGGGGGTAACATGGAGGTCAGTATAACAGAGTGCAGAGTTCTGGTTCACATTGCCTAAAGCAGTGAAAACAATCACTGAGACTAGTGAGTAGTATAACTACACTATGCTGTTAGGGTAGTTGGTAAAGCTCTTGGCTAACATGCACCAGGTTTCAGTCCCTGCTTGGGATCAGACCTGCTATACATGCCAAAGCTGTAGCACCTTTACACTGCTGAAGCCACTGAAACCTTTTTAATCTTACAAATGTCTGCTGCATTAAACACAACAGAGCTTACCAGGTCCATTTGATTCCACATTAAACCCTGAGGGGAAAAGCTGACATTCATTCAGTGCACTTTTAATACTTTACGTGTGCCATAACTGCAGATTCTGTTTATTAATGAAAAAATATGTTTTGTCTTTTAATATTCTTTTATCACAAAAAACAGTGTGAATACAATGACAATGGGTATTTAACGTGTAACTGTATTTTTTATTGACTTGCTTACTACTCTGTGGTACATATGCTCTGAAGTACGCCAAACTGTATTTTAAAACGTGTGGACACTGAAACACATACATAGATTAGAGAAGACTGTGAGCTGCACATTGCCATGACATGTGGGGAACTGTCCATCCCTGAACAAGACTACTTGACTGGTACCATAACACACAAGAGGCTCAAAGCTTGGACATTTGGAGAGGGAGGCCTACTGGCTTGCCTTTCAGCCAAGGGAGTATTTAACAAAGCAGTTTCTCAGTGAATCTGGATAACTAAAAGGGGCATTCTGACCTATAACTAAGATTTTAATGTATTTGTCTTATTATCTAACACTCTGCAGTACAACAGAACCTCAGAAAGCCTCATTAGGTTGACAGAAATTGTTTTTTTTATCCTTTTTGTGTTTCCTCCACCAACGTTCTCCCACTACAATACCCAGCATGCATTATGCAAGCATGTCATACAACCATTGAGAATCCCCCCACAGAATTCTGACTGCTTGCATAAGCACTGAGCAGTGGTCACCAAGCCTGGACCTGGAGATCTACCTTCCTCTAGACTGTGTTTCGAACCACAATCTGCCACAGCTGTTCCAGCTAATGAACTTCTTCAGAAGTCCTTGATTGGCTGGATGTGATGTATTAGTGTAGGTATGTGGAGGGAGCAGCATGGTAGATGCAGGCTGGAGCTTAACACTTCAGGAAAGCAAATCTCCAGGAGGAGGATTGGTGACCACTGCTACAGAGACTGCTATGGCACCACTGGAGCGGTCGGGGAGCCCCAGTGTGAGGGCTGTCCAGAGACCTCTCCTCCTATAGAACACCTAAATAAGCGTCAGTCATGATTTTGATCCTTCACTGTTAGGTAGACGGTGAGCTAGCTAGTTACTTCAGTGCTGAAAGCTGGAGTCCTCCTGCGCTGCATATTTAGTGTCTCCCTGAACACACCCATTTTACACTCAAGAATGGCTTTGGCAATGTGCTGATGAGTTGGGCTAGGTTTTTGAGCAGAGTGTAAAACGCCTTACAATTGTAAAATACTGAAGTAACGTTACATGAAGCAATTTAGCTTATATCGTTTACGAGGCGCCTTTGTGCTGCGAACCACGCCAAATCATGGCATGTAAAGTTAGCCAACTTAGCTAGCTGGCTAGCTAGGTTAGCTAGCTACTTTACTCGCCTGACACAGGCGAACGAGGCTGAAGTTGGCCTCCTTTTCGCCAGCTTCTTACTCGAGTTTTCCCGTTCCACGTTAAATGGTGCAGCAGTTGCATTCTAGAGCCTGCACCTTTTAAGGTGGAACGGGAAAACTCGGATAAGAAGCTGACTCTAGCTTCGTCAGAGGCGAAGCCTACACTACATTACACAGCTAGCTAGCTGTGCGGATTTGTACAAGGAAAAATACGTGTTAGAATGAACAGAAAAAGATATCTGGGTAAAATGTACAGCTAGAAAGTTCTTTGTGCGTAACGTTACGCTCTGGCCTAAAATGTGCTTTTCCATATATGGTCGGAAACGTCAGCCAAGCTGGCTCGCATTTGAGCTGCTGTATCTCACTTACCCCATGTTTTGCCTGTAGTTCCGCCATACGTTGCCGTCTAATCGCTTCCAGTTCTTCATCAGCCATTTTCTAAGAAAGTGTAATCAGTTTTTGATGCCGAAATATAAGCAAAGCCACACGGCCCAAGATGCGCTCAAATAAATTTTACAGCAGCTAGCAAGTCTCTATTAATCAACGCAAGAGCAATCGAGCAGCCCCGTGTAGCTCTTGAGCACAGAGTGAACTTCAGAGAGGAACTCGGCGCCTCTGCTGCCTTCTGTTCACTCAGGCTTAAATCTCAGTGTTGCTGTGTTAAGTTTAATTTTCATGGATTTTAATTACAAGTTTTTTGTGACACTATCGCAGTGTCACTACCGACCCCATCCACCGTTACAAACTGATGGGATGCTGGCCGACTGTACTGTGGAGGACCTTAAAGGGCCCATATCATAGACTTTTTGTTAAATTGGTTAAAGTACATGTTCTGTTGATTTTTTCAGTGAAAAAAATAAGTACATTTATCCTCTACAAAGAACACACCTCTGCACATTTTAATGCACAATTTCCATTTAATTGCATTTTAGGGGAAAGGGGGTGTGTTAACTTATGCATGCCACTGTATATGCATACATGTACATGTTTTGGTTTTTGTGACTTCACTAAGACAATTAATTCAAAACACTGTTTTTGCACTTTATTTTCATATGAACTGTAAGTATTAGAGAGTGAATTGTACAATTTGAAATATACTCAGAAAGGCATATTGTGATGTTATACCCTATATTTAATTGGAAATAGTACAAAGACAAAATATCAAATGTTGAAACCGAGACATTTTATTGTTTTTGAAAAACATATGCACATTTTGAATTTGATGCCAACAACACAATTAAAATTTTTTTGACAACACTATTTTTTGAAAACACAAGTGTTTGGGAACTGAGGAGACCAGTTGCTGTAGTTTTGAAAGTGAAATGTTCTCCCATTCTTGTTTAATATAGGATTTCACCTGCTCAGCAGTTCAGTGCCCCTTTATCAGATTTTTTATTCCGTAATGCGGCAGATGTTTTCAATGGGTGACAGGCCTGGACTACAGGCAGGCCGATTTAGCACCCAGACTCTTTTTGTCTTGCGGAAATAAGCAAGGCCTTACCTGAAGAAGACAGGTGTTCCCAAACCTGTATATATCATTCAGCATTAATGGTGCCTTTACAGATGTGCAGTCACCCATACCATGTGCACTAATGCACCCCCATACCATCACAGATGCTGATAACTAGCCGGATCAGACCAGAGGACACTTTTCCACATTACCTCAGTGCATCTTAAATGAGGTTGGGCCCAGAAAAAGTGGCAGCGTTTCTGGATCCTGTTTATTTTTGGTTTCTTCTTTGTGTGGCATTGTTTAAACTTATATTTGTGGATGCAACAGAAACAAAAGTTTTCAGAAGTGTTCCTGAACCCTGCAGTGATTTCCACTACAGAATCAGGTCTGTTTTCAATGCAGTGCCCAAAGATCCTGACCAGCTAATATTGTTTTTTTGTTCTTGTCTTGAGATTTCTACAGATTCTCTGAATCTTTTAATAATATTATGTACCATAGGTGAAATCTGTAAGTTCTTTGCTATTTTATGTTTAGAAACTTTATTCTTGAATTATTACACTATATGCCCAGAGAGTCTTTCATGGAGTGGTGAACTCCTACCCATCTTTAATTCTGACTCAGCCTCTCTGAGCTGCTCTTTGTATACCCAGTCATGTTACTGACCTGTTGCCAACTAACCTAATTAGTTATGAGATGTTCCACCAGGTGTTTTTTTTTTTAATTACACAACTGTACCAGTCTTTTTTTGTCCTGTCCCAACTTTTTTGAAATGTGTTTAGTTACCACATTTGTTTTATTTAATTGTTCAAACACGTTTACATCTCCAGTAACAAAGTACAGTAGAGTATACAGAGATAGATGTTTGTGTAATCTTTTAGCACCGGAAAGTTCAGATTCATTCTGTCTTAAACAGCTCAGCTGAGGTGGTAGAGATGAATTGTTGCTGTTTTACTTTCCACCACCTCCCGGAATATTTACTTATATTTCCAAATGTCATTTTTAACAGTTCTGTCACAAGTTTGAGTACAAACCATTTTTCTGATAAGCCTGATCAGAATACATTTTTTTCACTTTGGTTACTTGTTCCATATTGGTAATAGAGAATACAAACATTCCTGAAAGAGTAGAAAATAATATAGAAAAATTTTGTGCTTAATAGACCAACAAGCTAGAATTGTCTGGTCAGAGAGATAGAAGATAGCATCAACATCAAAGCACAAGTATTGAGCTAGAGTGAAGATTTTGGCCATCTTTGTAGATCTGATTTGTCTATATGCACTAATCATCATATGTTTAAGAAAATGAAACATCATATTCCAAATGTTTCATTAGTAGGTGAGCAGATAGTGGATTATTTAACTTCCTCTGTAGGTACTGTAAGAGAACCGACTCAGGAGAAGTGGTACATGAAACTTCTGAGATGCATCAGTGATGGTGAAGACAATCTGTGGGGCAACAAATTAATGTCACATTTGCTTCTCAGCAAAGTTTTTTCAGCACTAATTCGTTTGGCTTATCAAACAGAAGTTCATAAAATATTTTTTATTAACCTACCTCAACATATGGGTAGAAACAAGTCTCTCCTAATGCTTCCCAGTACTGTCCAGTCTCAAAACGCATCTTATAAACACCAGGAATAAATGCTTCTTTACTGATGAGGCCTGGGCTGCGTCCATCATCATTGGTAGCTCTAGAAGGAACAGCTTTGCCAGTGTAAGAGATATGATCTGCTTGGTCCATGTGCTAAACTTACACAGTCCAAAAGTATTCAGCTACTCTAAGGTGCACCCATTGCTGACACAATCATTGCACGCACACAGTTTGCATAAACTTAATAGAAAAGCACTGCTTATAGAATGAGATGCTCTGGAGCAGCTGCACACGTCAGCTAAAGGGGTATAAAGCTCCTCAGCATTGGATTGTGGAGCAGTGGAAATGCGTTTTCTGGAGTGATGTAACTGCATCCAATACTTTTGGGATGAGCTGAAGGGGAATTTATGATCCGGAACTATTCACCCAACATCAGTAACTGACCTTACTAATGATCTTGTAGCTGAATGCACTCACAGCAATGTGTAATACATCTAGTGTAAAACCTTCTCAAAATAGTAGAGGTTCTTACTGCAGCAAAGACAAACTCACTTTCAGAAGAAATGTTAATGAGCCGGCATCTACAAACCTTTGGACATACAGTGCAGTTTTGTATTGCTTCTGTAGTGCATGGCTTTGTTGTAGTATTTTACCCTGTTCTTAGTAGGTTCCAAGATGATGAGGTGGCATCCAGAAGGTAAAGGCTGAGGTTCATGTTGGCTGCTGGTATACCTCGACCCGTGTTCAGCACGTGAGTGGTAAGGGGGCTCAGTAGTGGAGCGGTCATTTCTGCACACTATGACAAAGATATTCTAAATTTTGTATACTGTCAGCTTACAGTGTAAAGTTTGTACACTGACAATGTATTCAGTCAAGTTAAATGTTATCTTTCACAAAATATGCAACTTAATATCAAAATCATTTTAAAAGTCATTTTGGACAAAAGTAGGTAATAACTTGCTACAGTCGTATGCAAAAGTATCCCTGCTTTGTTGATTTTCAGGTTATATGAATAAGCTACAAGTTATAATAAGGTAACATCTTCTACAGAGAACACACTACTTCACATTTTAGTGCTCAATTACTGTTAATTTGCTGAAAATGGGGGGAAAACATAAAATGAGGCCTGTGCAAAAGTTCATACATTTTATACATATTTTTTCCAATATGTCAAAGTTTTCAAAAAAATATAAATTGTGATAAACATAAATTTAAGTATGTTCTCTGTAGAGGTTAACTTAATTTTCATTTAAAAAATCAATAAAACATAATTTGACAAGGGGTATTCAAACTTTTGCATATAGCTTTATATGAAGCATGCTGTTAATATTACTTGATTTGCTGCAAAAATATGGTGTTTGATGTGTTGCAGCCGGACACTCATTGGTAGTGCTTGTCTTTGCTAGCTCACAGCTGGTTTCAGGACCTACAAAAAATGATGAAATTGAGCTGCTGCATATAATATTAGAGGAGTAAGTAGATGTTTATATAATGTTTACATCAGAACGCTGCCAATAGACATAATACTGACAATGTGTGAGAAAACAGCCACTTACTGTCATGTTGGACAAAGCTGGACTGAGTGTATAATGATATGCAGATTACAGCTTGCAAATCAGTGCAGTTTCTGAGTATACTGTTTAGCAAGAAACTGTTATTGTTTATTGTTTTATTAACAGTGCTAATCTGATACTTAATATATTTGGTACTTACCATGAAGAGGTAGAATGTCTGAATCCACTAAAAAGCTGCTTCAGTAAAAGGCACTGACCTCAGGGTTTTTCACCTGCTATTGATACATCAGTACAAAGTGCAGATATGCATTCATACTGAAACTCACAAATACTGCAAATGTAAAATATTTGTTTTTATAATACACCGACAATGAAAGTCCGACTTCTGCTTTCTGTCCCAGCCAGGACACTAAATATATTTTGGAGGAGCAATATGTGATCTCTTATCCTTGGAGGATATTAAACATTCATCAGGCCCTCTGTATCTGCAATAAAAATGTGATGTATTAAATGTACTTGACTCAAATGTTTACATCATGTCCACATTCATAAAATATGTTACGTCCATTGTTTTTCAGTTAAGATTTGGATATGATGGACACATATGGAATAGGAATAGCCAGAGTGGTGATATACTTTAAGATTCTCCTTGATGTCAGCAAGGCTTTGTGAAGTGCCTTTTTTAATCAAGCATAAATATGAAGGCCAGATCATACAGACATTATCAGCAAGCAAGTGACCATGTGCCATGTTGGCTGGAAATATATTATGAAATTGTAGACTGTAGTAACACTGAGCAAACTGCAGATGGTGATACAAGACTTCTCACTTAATTCTAAATTTACAGGACAAATTTATATAGAACTGAGTTTTTAAAAAGCATGTTTGGCACACACAGCATATTTTGGTTCACTCTCAGCCGTACACGTCAGCAAAAGTGACTGAAATCTAGCATCTTGTGTTGTGTACAGATGTGACTGGTAGCTATTTGCATTTGGTCAGTTGCATGTACTTAAAGGGACATTCTGACCTAAAACAAGAGTTTAAGAAGTTATTTGTCATGTTATGTAGTGTTCTGTAGTACAGTATTGTATCACTTAGCCACATCGATTTGTCAGAATTCACAATTTTATACATTATTATTGTTTTCATATTTTTGTTCTGTCACTACAATACCCAGCATTCATTATGCAAATACATCATGCAACCAGTGGTGCTCAATCAATCCTGAGTGTTAGTCTAGCCATTGATTTCTAGGATAATAAATACAACCAAGATTGCATTAGTGTAACTCTTACACTGATATTAACAGTACAGTGCATTCTCTGTGCATTGTGGTTTTCCCTGTGACTGTACAGGATAAATGGTAACCCTTTGTCTTTGTCAAATCTCACACAGTGGAATTATCTCAGCTTGAGATGTGTCTGTTCTCTTCATTGTAATGATGATGAAGGCTGTCACTACAGTTATATGGCTGCAATAAGATATTGGCTTCCTTGCAGTAATGATAGATATCCAGCTTCCTTCTGCATTCGCCAGCTAGAGAACAACTCAAAACTTAACAAACAGCTCTTCCTCAAAAACCAACCCATAGCTGTTATAGTTTTCAAAAGTTCAGATGTAGCAGTGGCTAAACTGATGCATTTGTACCTTTCTGAGTATTTTCAAGTGATAATACTACTCAAGTTTATCTGTAAGGAAAGGAATCAACCTTTTACTCAGTCACATTTTAGACTTAATTCAAAACTTTATGATCAGTATTATCATTTATTTTAGACAATGAATACACCCAAAGAGTAGAACTGAAAACCCCAGTTCCTGTGCTGATAGATGCGGTATCTACTGAGAAGTTCCACTCTAGTTCTCAGTGCTTCTATTGTACTTCTACTCAATTTCTGTTCAGGAATTTTGACTTCTACTTGAGTCATTATTTTACAGACGTAACAATGCTTTTACTTGAGTATGAGTGTAAGCTGATCTACCTACCTCTGCTTGTGTAACACAGTGGTGAACACATGGTAACCCAATAAAAATACATTAAAACTATTTGAAAAGCATAAAAAAGAAATCGTCTTTTACATCATTATGTTACACCTCACTACCATCTCATACGAAATGAAGAACTTTGGATGTGATTCTCCTTTGTCAGCCTTCTTGCTTTGTTTGTTATAGCAGTGATTTTCTATCAAAACTCCTCTGGATCTGATTTTGAACCCCAACTGCTGTAATTAACTCTAAATGTAACTTGTAACTTTTGAGCGAGCTCCAAGTTGTTGACAATAGCTTCTTTGCCAGCTACAGAGAGGTTAAACATTTTGGCATCTGTGAGCAGAGCATGAGGCCATGGATCATCCATTCACCTCCCCACCCTGCAGGGTATTGTGCTGAAAAGAGCAAGCTGTGTCCGAGCTTTCTGTTCAATCACGGTCTGGGCCAAATCAGTCAGCTTCTGACTCACACTGCACTTAGGGCCTCAATGCTCACGGTTGGTCTTATTTGTCCCGAATGTGGCGATTATTCATGGTGCTGGTGCTGGAACGGTTTTGGTGCATCTACTGAGCTCTTTCCAATGCCTGTGCTCGGAGCTGAAATTGTGCACTGTATTGACTTAACATCATGGAGCGGCGGGCATGCCTGCAGCGCTAATGAGCTTTTTTGTGTTGGACGCAGAGGTATATCCGGTTCTGCTCAGTCACGGACAAAGACTAAACTACTTCAATTGTCCATTTTTTCCCCAGCCCTCTAAATAATAATAGGGTCAAAATAGTACACTGTCATATAAATGGCCTTGAACAAAAGGAAAACATAAAGACAGAACACCCAGAGGCATTTTTAATCAATATGAAAATACCTTTACTACTGTGACAATGTACGGTCTCCACTCAGCTTGATGTGAATGCAAAAGAAGAAAAAAAGAGAAAGCAGTTTTTTTTTGTCTAACAAATAGCACTAGAATTCTATTGAAACAGTCTCAGATATTTCTTTTATTTCTTCTCTTTTTCAAAAATAAAAACCAGTTAAACAAACTGCAAGATAAAATCAGACAGCAAGAAACACATAAAACAAAGTTTTACAATATTACACAATATTACACATTGACCCAGACCTTTTCTTTCAGGCTGAAGCGCCATATACACAGAAGAGGATCCATTATTATGCCTCATTCAGAGAGATATTTCTCTGGTAAAAGGATGAAAACAGTCTGCAGTCCTGCCTCTGCAAAGGTAAGCATGGAGCAATATATTCTTTGGGGGATAAAAACACAGGAAATCTATACCTTTCACAGTGAAGCATAATGGCCTTTTTGATATTATCTTAGTATTGAGGTGAGGTTAATGTTTATGGCTAAGGTACTTTCAAGATATTGCATGTTGAGATCAATTATGGCTAATGGCAAATGTGACATCTAGAATTGAGCAACCTGACAGACAAATAAAACTCATGAATAGCACTGGTTATTATAAGAGGACTTTAAAACATCTTTGACTGACAGGCTTAAATCACCATTTAAAATGACAAAGATCTGCACAAAAGCTGGGTTAGGGGAATGACATTATCTCCAAAGTTAGCACATATATCTAAGGACTAGAAAAGAAAAAAATCATTGTAGTTTAAATGTGGCCCTCATTCAGTGCTTTGTGACAGCAGATATACAGGTATTACGCTGCCTGTGGACACTATTTCCTGTCCAAATCTAGCGGCTCAATTTAATTACTGTTCCTCAACAGAATGATAAGGCCTTTAACCAACCTTTAAAATGTGATTTAGTCATACTCAAAAAAGCTCATTTGTCTTTATGATTACACTTATATATTATATATTATGTATGTATATATTTTTGCACTCTGAAATGTATACATGAATGCCATGATGTTGTTTAGACCTGCAACATGTGAATAACTGTTACGGGTATTACATAAAAGTTTAACACTTTAAATGATTAGACTAATATAAAGCTTATTTATTAAGATGTACTCTAATTGGTAGAACCTTTTTGATGGTTTGCCTATACATAGTACCATATACGTGTAAAAAAAGACCGAAAGCATTCAAATTTAAATGACATTACTGCATATAGGCATACTGTGATGACACCTGACCCAAAATGACCCAAAATAGGGGACTGTAACATACCCTTTGGACTACTAGGGGGCAAATAAACATAAACTCTCAAAACTTCCAACAAGTTGCTTAGTGGGAGGCACTGGCTTTTTAAACTATGTTGCAGGGGACATCCTGGGAATTCTTGGTCTGGATATAAATGTGCTCTTCTGTGTGCTCGTCTTCTGCGTTTGGCGCTCTTTCACCTTGCTACATCACTCAGCAATCCAGTCTGGAGAACAACATGAGCATTACAATCCTTACCGAGCACACACTTCACAGTCACTGCATATTGATATCTTTGCTGTCCCTGTAACTCCATTCTCACACCATTTGAAAAATGCCAGCTGTCTTTTCCATTGTGAGAACATTTCATGATGAATGGACCAATAAAAATGTCTAATCTAGTATTACTGTGAATGTAACATTAACAGATGTTAAGTACATTATTTCTCCCACAAAGTTCCCATTTTAAAGATACTAGTTTTCATACAAGAGCAACGATATGTGAAGATAAACAGACAGCAGCAGGTAGAGCCACATCTTAGCAGCCTTCTTTATAAGGTGGTCATTTTACTTCTGATCTTTTTATTTTATACCATTTATAAAATAAATATATACCATTTACCCTTTACACTGTGTGTTACATTTCAATATAAATATAATGAAACAGAATTATTTGGAATAAAACCGTGACAATAAATGTACACTAGTGTTCAAAAGTTTGAAATCACTTGTCATATTCATAATTGCTGTTATTTTATTAAATTTTAACTTGTACAGTGTAGATGAAATACTATAAGCTACACACTGAAAGGTATTTCAGGATGTTTTATTTAATATTTCTACATGCTGTGGGGGAAGACAACTCTGCAGTTTCCATTGATTTGCAGTGCACACTTTTCTTCATTGCTTGACAAATAACTCTTAGTGTTGGGTAAGTTGAAAAGTTAATTACTTCTCTATCTGAGAATTTGTTGTTAAAAATTGTATACCAGATGCATTTGTTTAGCTAGACAGTTAAGCTATTTAGATTCTAGCTACATTAGCTTGCTGTGGGTTGGCTCGCTAGCTAGATAATAACGAAGGTAATGGTAATAGAAGCATGGATAAAATGTAATAGTACAGCTATACTTGAGCATTTTGCTCTTAGATGACAATAGCAAGATGACAAGTTCATTTTGATCACAACGTTAGCTAATGTTAGTTAAACAGATGACAATATTGACTAGTTTAGCCTACCTGGTGATTCGTCAGGTAATGTTGCAAATCAAAATAAGTGATGGCTAGCTACTCTGTGGGGTCATTTTTCCACACTGATTTTGAGATAGAAAAGAGACACTGGGGGAGTTGAATCAGATTTAATTTCTCTATATATCTGGCCCTTTCGTCGTGAAGTTGGCTGCTGTTGACATTTTATGTTAAAGCTCAAAAATTAAATTCAAGATGCACAGTCCTGTAATTTTTCATTAACTCCCTTTTAAACTTCACGAAATGTTTCCCCCACGAGGGGTGTGGTTTTCCCTCCGATGACGTGATGCACTCTGTCTCTATAGAATACATTTGTGGAGTATAGAGGTGCAATTATTGTTCTACCTTCCCAGTTGTTTTGCTTGACCAATGGGATGACAATATTTTTAAAAATGGGTCTCTGGGAATTCTTTTTCAGTATCTAGAGGGATTCATCTACACACCTTCAGCTTTGCTACCTTAAAAGGTTACTGCTTTCTAAAGTGTTAATAATGTGTGTTGGTCCCAGTGATCGTTTAATGTTGGCCTAGCTATAACACAGACAGGGAGAAAGAGTAATGCTAGTGTAAATGTGTGGGTTGTGATGTGAATGTGGGGGCTGACGGGACTTTGAACGATTCCTTTAAAGAATAATCAGTGTTCATCATTCTGGGCGCTTCTAAAATTTCTTCTGCTTTTTACAGCTTCCTAGTAATTATTTGAAATCTGTGAAGTTGTAGAGTAGTAGCATCACAACAGCATTATTATCTGCAACATTTGTTTTTTATTTTATTTAAAACACTGATCTCAAACTTTTCAATTGTAATTATTAACTACTGAATGCTAATGTGCATCAGAGTTAAGAATGCTTTTTCTTAAAGTGACCATTTTGTGAATATGAGGTTTTGTTTGCTCCAGTGACGATATGTGTATGTGTCTGTGTTTGTGTGTTCAGTACCTGAGCAGTGCCTCTTTACATTTCATCCTCCAAGTCAGAGTTGTGATGATTCATCTAAAGCAGACAGAAACACAGATCCTCATTAGAATGGTTTCCAGTGCTCCAACATGTAGCTACAATATGTTCATAGCCATTACAGAGAAAGCACTGTGGGCAACCTGGAGCTTCTAGCTTGGAATTAATGACATATGAGTCAGTATGCTGGAGCTCATTTCAGTGGGTTGGGCTGCAGAGATGAGCTGCTGATTTCCCAGCAGCACTGGCTAATGGGTGGGAATGGAGGCACACTGAGATGACAGAGAGAGACCAGTCGGCTCTCGCTGAGACACTCTCCTCTAACATATGGGCTCTCACTAAGAGCGAGGGAACTCTCATCAGTTATGGAACAACGCAACCACACGGGAAAACAACAGCTTGTGGAAAGCACTGTTAGGTAGAGAAAGTGAGAAATGTAGCCTTAATAGCAAACTGGTCTATCAAACTGCTGAACCAAGCCAATGTTCTTTTCCAGAGGTGGTGACATGCCCCATTTCTTTATCTTAAAGTACATAACAAGCTAACAAACAATGTGGTGGAACCAAACCCACTGGACAAACAAAATAGATTGTTCTCCATTATTTTTATGTCAGAAACCAGGCGAAGAGCAGACCGTGCAGAGAAAGCTAGTGTTTTTCCTTCCCTGACTTTTTGGAAATTGTGTGTAAATGTTGCTACTATAGCTGTAGTTAGCCACATTGAATGCTAGTTCGTGAATGCGCATGAATGGGTTCTTCATTTGTTGTTTTCTTGCTGTGCTTCATTGTTGGATATTATTTTTACAATTGGCCTATCCATTCTCTGCCTACAAATGTGTTTTTTTATAGCTACTGCTGCTAGGCTGGACAAGCATTCAGAACAATATTGCATTTAACCTAATGAGAAATTATAGCAAACAACTGTTAAAGTATAGAAATGTACCTTATTATATTAATTTCAAGTGATATTTGTTTTGTACGCATGAGAAAGTTCACACTAGCTAGATTTCCATGTATACTGGCATTTTTTAAAACAGACTTGATGAAGGCATCAAATATTAAATAAAACTGCTTGCATGTACGTTTGTACGCTTGCTTGGGGTGAATATATTTTTTTGCTTTTAAAAAAGAAATTAAGATGTAAACTCATTAATAAATACTGAATAAATACCATAAATGCAAATAAAAAAGTACATCTGCTCATATGTTTCCATTTTTTGATCTGCCATAACAACAAAACATGACAGAAGACAGCAGGTTCTAGTGGACTACTGAAGAAATCAGGGCCGCCAGAACCTCAGAGGTGAGCAGGCATTTGACCCACCACTTTTCAAAGTACTAGGGCAATGATCCACTACTATTTGATTGCATCCAGCATGCTATAGACATGAAACAAAAAAATAATGAGCAGAAATCTCCATTTCAGCTGGAGATAAAGTAAAGTAAAGCCATTGTGAATTTGTGTTCAGTGAGAGGAGCTGCAGCTCTCTATTTCAGTAACTAACTAATACACTTTTTTGTTACTAACAAAAAAGTGTATTCGTTTTTTGTTACAGTTTATGTTACTACACTGTAAATTTACTGAAAAATCTGTTTACATATTTCTTAACAGAGGATGCTTTCACATCTACCTTGTTTGGTGCAGACAAACTGAACTTTAACTTTAGTTCAGTTCATTTTAATGTTTGAACACCTGGTCCACACCAATCAACTGAACCAGTCCAGCAAAGATCACGGGTTTCTGTCCACATCTAGTAAACCCTGCTTCAGTTCACTGCTGGTGGCAATGATTTTTTAAGATGGTCCTAATCAAGTCAGAGAATTCAACACCAGAACATGCTTTACTCAGGGCACTTCAGCACTGTACTGTCTGCGTAATCTGCCTGTTTAACATTTTACTCTTTACAGACGCTTGTGTTGTTCCTGCTGCAAAAGCTGCTGTTAATAACAGCAAATCAATAAAAATAAATAACAGCAAAGAAATGATTTGAATGTTTGATTTCTGCACATGGAACGCAGAGCGTATTTTTGACCAAGCAACAGTGACCTGCTGCCTTGATTGTGATAAACATAGACAGTGTCTCTGTGTTGTGCTTTTCTGTTTTCATGGTGGTAAATGTCAGAGAAACACGTCTGACGACCAATAAACGAACAACCTTGTGTGTAATTTGGTGCACTTCAACAAAAAAAGACAAACAACCAAACTCTGGTATGCACATTAGGTTTGAACCAAGTATGAAAACACCCGGATGTTCTTCAGAGGTTTTAGCTAGCAAAGGTTTTTTTTTTTTCTTTTTTTTTTTGGAAACCATAGGTTTTGCTCCACCACTTTTGGAGGTGTGGCGCCACACCTGAGAAATGTGATTTTAGTTCATTAAAGGAAAAAAACATTATGGTGATATTATTCAGCTGAATTAATTTTTGCCAGCATTCTGTAAAGTTCGTGCAACCTGGGACCCTCAGCTACTATAGAACTCATTTGTGGGTGGAATAAATGGGTGCAATCATTGTTCTACCTTCCCATTTGTTTTGCTTCATCAATGAGGCAATACATTAAGAAAGGGGTCTAATTCTTCTTCAGTATCTAGAGGATATTGCCTACACACCTCCAGCTTCTCTAGCTTGAAGTTATTGCTTTCCAAAGTGTTTATAATGTATTTTGGCCCAAATGAGCATTTCATGTTGGCCTAGCCATAACACACAGAGAGAAACAGCAAAGCTAGTGTAAACGTGTGAGTTGTGATGTGAATGTGGGGGCTGATGGTGCAGTTCTGCAGTGTTTTGTAGTCAAGGCAGTGCGGGGGGAAGCCCTTGGTGACATGAGCACTGCAGCAGAGTAATTGAGGCCTTGCTATTGTGTGCAGGAGACATAGAAAGGGGCTAAAAGTACTTAATGTGTCACTGTCACCAGGTGGGGGATACTCTCCACGGTAATTACACATAATTGTAATGTGCTTTCTGAGGGATAATAGTTGTCTATATATATAGGGCACAGAAAAGCTGACAGTGAAAGTGTTCTCTGTAGTGGCTCCATTGTCCTTCCACTGTCTCTTTGCTCGCTAAACTGTTTCTCCAATAGCTTTGTTTTCACTTATCGTCCTCTTTGCGTCCCAGTAAATGCCTTGACTTTATGTGTGTGTGTTTGCCAGAAGTTGCTTGCTTAAGGACTGCTGTAGGTGGATGCAGTGTAAGAACGAAAGTAGAAAAATGGCCTCGCTCAGTGTAATTTTATGCTGCAGTGAGCAAATCTGTCTCATAATAAAGCTGTGATGTGTCAAAGTAATGACAGCGTGATTAGATTTGTTTTTCTCTGTTTGTTTGCGCTCTTTAGCAGGCGTGAGTGAGATGGAGGTAGGGGAATGTGTTTAGTGAGGGTAAAAAACAAGGCTTTTTTTGTGTGTGCATATGTGTTGTTCTCTGCTTGTGGTTCCATGTTTTGGCTATTTTATGTGGAGAATGGGTAAAAGTCTGTGGGAGTAGTTGTTGCTTGTCTGCAGGAACCAGGCATAGTTTTATATTTGCAACATTTGAGAGGCACTTATCAGCTGACAGACTGATTTGCCATGCAGCAGTATTCTGTATTGTGCTTATCTCTTTTCTCCCACATTCACACACACTCTGCACAATGACACAATTTGAAAAGACGTGCAACATGCACACACACACAGTCTCCTTTTTAAATCCCTTGTGTGTACAGGGGGATGAAGGCTGTGCTGCTTACTGTTTGGTTATCTAAAGAGACACAGCTCAGGGCATGCATGCTACAGTGGCCTGCAGAGTGGACTTGACTTGCATTAGTTTTTTTATCAGCTTGATGAACATCAAAACACATCACATATATTTACCATGTGTGAATCATCGTCACTGGCCTCCCCCAGCTCAGGACTGTCTCTCTGGCCCCGGCGAGGACGGGGACTGGGGCTTCTAGGTGAGCCCTCTCGACTGCTGACTGATGGGTGGTATGGTGACCCTCCCAAACTTCCACCCTGAGAAAAGGGTGAACCTGTAGTACACCCAAAATATAGAAACTATAAGACTTTCACTAAATGTAAATACATTATGTCCAATTAGTCGCTGTGCATCATGCCTAACAAAACAATGGTAAAATTATAACACACAGGCATCTCATGGCTTATTGCCTTTATAATCAGTGACAAAATGCAAGAAACATAAGTCAAAGATTATTCCATGAACAGCACAACTTTTTAATACCATGGCATGTTTATACAGAATCCAATTTATATGTGCAAAAATCAGAGACCACCCTTCATTTGTTTAGTTTCCAGTAAAAAACAGAAATTAATTACAAATTATTTATATTTCAGGAGATATTTCTGAAGAGATTAGATATACAATTGTCCATTTGCATAAGGGGAAAGGCAAAGGAAAATAAGGGGAAAATATGAGTTTCTTAAACCGCAGTTCAAAAAATCATTAAAAGTTACAGAGAAAATAGGGCTCCTAATAGCCATGTAACCATCAGATAAACAGTACTTAAAGGTTTTATCTTTGAGAGACAGAAGGACATCAAGCTCCACTTTTGCTTTAGATCTGAGAAAGTTCACAGGTGCTTCTGTCCATCCTTCCACTGTGAGAACTCAACACTATGGGTCTGAAAGGATGTGCACCCTTTGAGAAGCCATTACTGAGAAAAGCGAGTAGACAAAGCAGGACAAACAAAGAGGCTGCTGGTGTTCTCAGACCAATGAACTGGCCATTCCACAGTTCAGATTTCATCATCACTAAACATGTTTGGGATTACTTGGATCAAGAGAAGCAGAAATTGCTATTTTTGAGACTGAACTCCCTGCAGAGTTCTTTTAAAAACTGTAAGCAAGCCTCTTGAAAAGAATAGAAACTGTAATAAAAGCAAAGGCTGGAAACACTAAATACTAAAACAAGCATACTATATTAAACTGTTGAGTTTTTTGTGTCAAGTTTAAGTGCTCTGCTTTTCCCTGATACTGAAAAATGAAAATAAATGAATAACAAATTAATGGCTGTTCTGCCCAGAAATTAAACAAAGAGTGGTCTCTGACTTTTGCACACTGTTTGTATGTCTATATAAACTATTCTGCAATGGATTCGAATGTGGTTCAGCCAATCTGATTTTAGTCTGTTTTAAAGTTTTGCCTAATAAGCAAGACAATTTAGTAATCTGGCATTTCAGCTGTCTTAAATTTACTCATGAGTTCATAAAAGCTAGACGGCACTCGCTGTAGTAAACATTCATAAAGCATTCTGTAAAAAAGCTGACACTCAGAGAAGATATTGCTTTTTCATTTACTAAGACAAGCCTAAAAAAAAAACAAAATGTTGTAGATGATTATATTTAAGCCATAGAGATTTGGAGTGCATTCGGTGAAATCTCAGGCAAATTGACTGAGAAAGCTCTCTGCTCTCGTCAACTTGCTAGTATTACTGACTCAGACACATTGATCGCTCATCATTGGCAGCACTGTAATTAAAGAAGGGCTGGATAAGAATTGAAAAAGATGCTGAAAAAGGGTGGAGTGCCTTGAAGAAAGACCATAGATTTCAGAGACTGGAAAAAGGAATTAATTTATGGTTATTCATATAAATGAACATAAACATTCATGTAATACCCAGTCCAGCTGATATAAAGACTAATTTGTATTTGAAATCAAGCACTTGTGTATATCCAGTTTAACATCTCTCTTGGCCTCATAGAAGTGATTATGGCAATGATTCACCATAGCAGTTTGCTTAAATGCAGTTTGACAAGCATAGCATGTCAATTTGAATGAAAGGCTAAAGGGACTGTCCATAATTCCAAGATTTGTTTACAAACTTTAACTCAGCCCGCAGAGTAAAGCTCAACAGTTCTTTATGAGGAGGAGAAGAGATTACCACTAGGTGGCAACATAAGCTCAAATGAGGCAATTCTCACCTCAGCCAGCCAAAGTTAAGCTCATGTGAGTCCTTATTTAAACCATAATGTGCAAAGTTTGAATCTTGTTAAAGGATCAGAGGAGGTCAAGATGTACAAACAGTGACTCATGCATCTTTAGAAGACTGACCTGTGTGCTCCTGCCTTTGTCTGTCCATCCTGTCCAGACTGTCCAACAGCCCATCGATCTGAACCTTTATCAGTGTCAACTCTCGCTTTATAGTCTGCAGCTCCTCCATTTTCACTGCAGAGAGACAAATAGGGGGAGAGGGAGGGAAGTGCCACAGTATACAAGAGGTTAAACTAAAAGTAAAAGAAGACAATAAAACAACTCTGAAAGCAGCTCTTCTTAAGAAATATTGTCTGGGTCGAGAAAAGCTATTATCTCTTCATCTGTACTCTTCAAATAACTGCGTACAAACCATTCTATAGTTCTGGCTAGCCTCTTTTGTTCCTCTTCTCGTTTTTACACATTCTTTGTCACCCGTTTAGGCACGGTGCCATCCCTAAGCCTGTCTCTATAGTGAACTCTGGAGGAGGCCATTTGTCCCCAAGCAGCACCTCAGCACCCTGCCTGGCCACCTCAGAGTACGGCAGCGCAGGGTTGGGGACAAAGTTCTCCACAGTGGAACACAGCAGAAAGAGAAGAAATGGAAGTACAGAGAGATGGATTAATAGTCCAGAGAGAAATACTGCAAATAATATGCAGAATTACCCAGATACAGACAAAATTACAGACAGAACAAGGAAGATAAATGAGGAGACACGATGATAGATGGAGACACAGAGGTTTAATTGAAAAAGACAACATTCTGACCCCCGAGTACCGGGGCTCTGAGATGACCTCGCGGTGAGAACTGGTAATAAGGTTCGAAGCTCTTTTTTATTCGTCGTGCTCTATTAATTTGGTGTAACTGCATGTTCTGATAGAGCTGTCTCTATTACAGAAGAAGATGCTACAGAGAAGAGGCTTTTAATGAAAAGCCATCTGGAGTCTCTGCCCTTCTGAGCCTAGCGAATTACTCAACCAAACTCAAATATGCTTAAATAAGATTTAGAAATACATTAAAATGGACATAAATATGGAAAAAATTCAGGATACTACAACATTGTTTAGCTATGCGGTGTACACTATATGTCAAAAACTTTGTAGACATCTGCTCATCCAATGTTTCTTCTTCTGAAATCAAGGGTATCAATACAGAGTTGGTCCCCCTTCTCTGTAGTAAATGCCTCTTTTTACCAAATCTAGAAAATGAAAACTAGTTTCAAGGTCTGGATTTACAGACCTCTGTTGATGTTTTAACATTGCTGTGAAGATTTGATTGCATTCAGCCACAAGAGCAATAGTGGGGTCAGGTACTGAGGTTAAATGATTTGTTCTTGATCACAAACGCCTCCCACAGGTGTTGGATGGAGCTCCATCATACCACAGTATGCAGTTCCACTGCCGCACAGTCCAGTGCTGGGGGGCTTTACATACCTCTAGCCAAGGCTGGGCATCGAGCATGGTGACCTTAGATTCATGTACGGTTTCTCCAGAGCATCCCATTCTATTGGCAATGCTTGTCTCTTGTGATTAAAAACGCTGTTTGTGCAGTTGAACGCCTGTGTCAACAATGGATGTGCCTTAAAGTAGCTGAATTCACAAATCAGAAGGGGTGTCTGGTTACTTTTGGATAAATAGTGTACTCTGGTCTTTCTAGAATATGTCATATAGTGTGATATAGTATATAGTATGATATAGTGTGATATCCTGTGATATAGTCATATAAGTACAGCCATATGAGCAATTCTATTTTAGATTATTTACCAAGCCAACATGGTTTAAGGCAAGTGTGTGATGATGTAGGCATCCACTCTGCGCAATGCTAATGGGTAGTGACGAGCTTCCATTAGTTGTCAGCTACATTAGTCTCATAGCTCAATAGTGCAAAAATGGAAATTTTACACACGAAACATGTCTTGGTTGATTGACTACATTTGCGGTTAGAAGTAAATTGTGAAAATTAGATTACTGAACCACATTTTTGAACCATACATATGTGTGTGGGTGAGTGTTTTTACTTACACTTGGCTCTGCTGGATGAGTGGGGTCTGGAGCTCTTGGAGGACGAGTGCTCTCGGCTACGTCTCTGCCTGGAGGAGGACGAGCGGGCTCTCTTGGCCAGGCTGGAGCTGTGAGCCAGCGGGGGTGCCGCCGATGGGACACGCTGATAGTCATACACCCTGAAGACACAGTACACACTACCATTACCGCAACACACAGTAGCAGTATCCACAAACACAGAACAACCTCCACAGATCTACACACTACACCAGTGAAGGAAATACAGACTAATGCAATGTAACATCTTGAAGACATTTTTGTTACTCATAAATATAACAGATATTTACTCATGTTTTCAAACCTTGAGTGGTAACATACTGTGGCAGTGTGGTCAGGTTTTTACCATAAAGATATGTTCTAATTACACAATGTGTGCCAGTGACTGTTTTTTATGGACTAACAAAATGTGTTAAAGCTCTGATAACACAAAATGCTTTTAATTAACATATCAGTTTTTAAGAGTGCAGGAAACTGAAACGACTCTTTTTGGCTCTTTAACCAGTGAAAAGAAGTTTCACATGTTTCAGGGAGTTTTCTTGCAAGTAACCGCCAGTGAGTGAGTTATGTTCAGTAATGCATTCAGTTTGCATAATATTCTGCATAATGTACTGTGTGTGCATGCTATCAGTGCATTTCAGCACTGCTCTGAGTGTTTGCATTTGAGCAGTGAGGAGCAGAGAGAGCCAGGTGGAGAAACATCTGACAGGCGTGGGAGCTGGGAGGGTTACCAGCATTCACCATACCTCACATAAACAGCCAGGGATTCGATTTCTCTACTGCAGCCATTGCTGTTCTGACATAGTTATTTAACACTAATAGTTACTGCAGTGTGATACATATCATACTCTTAAATATACAGGTAACACAAAGGGTTCTTTGGAACACTGCCATAGAAGAATCGCTTTTGATTCCTTGAAGAATCTTTTACTAATGATTCTTTCAAAAAAGTTTTAGGAACCTCCATATAACGACAAGTTTCTATGCATATTTTTTCCTGCAAATTTTCTCGAAGTGAAGAACCATTAGGAACGTTTATTTTTAGTGTTTAGAGTATATGGACCATTCTTCTTAATTAGTTCACACTGCTGTCCCACATTTTAAAAAGGCATTAACCGTGATAGTATTAAGCTAAATATTTACAAAAGCATAATTTATAGGGTACTTTCTACCTTAACCCCTAAATTTCATATTTTTTTCAATGATGTTTTTAAAAGATCTTTTTGATGATCATCAAAAAATGCTGTCCCATGTTTTCATGTCACTACTGAAAAACAATCCATAGGCGAAGTCTTATTTTATCCAAATCCCTGCATTTTAGGGCAGGAAGTGAACTGCATCCCTGTCCCTCATGGCCACATAGTGAGCATTTAGATCCCACTGTTTTGAAGTAAATGTGTCCCAAAGTCTGAAAATCAGTGTTTAACATTAAGAACTGAAACACATATTTTCTGCAATTAAGTAAACCTTTTTGTGTTTTAATGAAAAATATTATGATTTTTTGGGTGTACAACTGTTCGAACCTGTCATGCACTGGCTAGATTTTTAATGAAATTAGCTAAAATCAACACTACCGGAACAGTCAATACTGAAACATATGGTAAAGTTTTGGTAGTGACAAAATGGAATATTTATTTATTATAATAGAATAAACATAATTAAGGTATAGGGTCATTCAGAGCAAGGGGATTTTAGTCTGAAGTCCAAGTTAGTTGAAGGTCCAAAATGTGTTTTGAACTCATACATTAAGCCAATTCAATAGAATGATCCATATACTCAGAGCTCAATTTGAGGGAGGGTCCAAGAGGATGTCATTCACAGTGCTGTGGAAGCTTCTCTTTGGTGTAATTTTGTGTAAAACTGTGCAATCAGAACAAGCTCAGGACTGTAAGACATTCTTTTAGCACTTATAGCTTTTGAGTCCCAGTTCTTAGTAAGAGATGGTTCATTCACTTTATTAATGCAAACTTACATATCATCTGAACGTGTGACTCCGTGATATGTTCAGATTACCAAAGCCTCAGATAGTCTCCCCTCACTGTTTCTTTTTTACTTCATTATTCATTATTATATTTTCATTACTCATCCCCTTATTCACTCTTACATAACTCACATTGTTTTGTTGTGTTATTGTTTTGCTATCTGGTGTTGACCAGAGGATGGATTCCTATTTGAATCTTGCTTCCTTTCAAGGTTTCTTCCTCTTGTTTTCAGGGAGTTTTTTCTTTCCACTGTCACCCTCGGCTTTCTCACTAGGGGTCTGGACCCAGATTTCTGTATAGCTGCTTTGGGACAACAGCTGTTGTAAACGTGCTATGCAAATACATTTTAAAATTGAACAGAACTGAATGGAGACTTTTTAAATTGTGATATTGAATTCTAATACCTCTCAGCACTGCTAACACTACTCTGTTAATGATTTAAAACGGTCCATTTTCCCCACCAACCCACCCCTTAGATCTTTTTCCTTCTCTCTCTAGCCTCTCGAGGCATTCTCTCCTCCTTATGAACAGTGGTAAGCTGTTCTTATCTCCCACAAAAATCAAATTGGTACTGTCAGAGCCAATCAAAAGCTCTGTGGCAAAGCACTGCAGAAGCTGACAGAAGAGTTTAGGAGCATGTGTCACACAGGATACAGATACCAGCCATGATAAATCAGAGGAGAAAAGAGAGAGAGGAAAAATGAGAGAGAAGGCAGAGGGGTATCTGGGGAGGCACATTAAACATGGCTTGCTCTAACTTTGATCAGATCAGAAAATCATGTGCGTGTAAAATAAGAGACATGTGACAAAATAACATCAGTTGCTACTGGTTATGAATACATATCTGCAAATGTGCAAAAATACAGCTGTTTTGTACCCCTTTGGGTTCTGTAAAGTCTATGATGTGAATGTATTATATTTTCTCTACACAGCATGTTCTGTATTGCGCTTACCACACCATATGAACCCTACACTGTTAAAAATGAGGGCTCCTGAATTGTTCTTGGTTTGGACGTATGGTTCTAGGACACACCTTCAACTGATAGAGAACCTCTACACTATGTAGAGGTTCTTTAAACCTTTACAAGGTTCTTCACACTCTCGCATTTCATTTATATAAATGATTGTTTAAAGTGACGTTCCAGCCAAAGTGAAAAGTTATAAACATGCCTACTCACATCATACAGCAGTGATGCAATGAGTGAGATTTTCTGGTTTAATGAACAGAAAAAATAACCATTCTGATGATGTATCTTCAATGTGGAAGGAACACTGAAAAACTCCAAGCAATTTGGGGGCGGGATGTTTGACTGAAGCCAAAGATTTGTATGTACTTTGTGTATGTGCTTTTTGATTTCTTTTAAAGTGAATTTGAACAATTTAGATTTATCATAATTTATTTCTAAAATAAAAGTCGTCAAAAATGTTGTCCCATGTTTTCATGTCACTTCTGAAACACAGAGTTTTAGTCCATAGGTGGAGCCTTATTTTAGCCACACCCCTGAATTTTAGAGCAGGAAGTGAGACTGCATCCCTGTCCCTCATGGCCATATGGTGGATTTTAGATCCCATTGTTTTGAAGTAAATGTGTCCCAAAGCCTGAAAATCAGTGTGTAACATTAAGGAACTATCAGTACCGAAACACATTTCCAATTAAACTTCTTGTGTTTTAATAAAAAAATATGATTTTATGGGTGTACAACTGTTCAAAGCTGCCATGTACTGGATAGTTTTTATTAAATTAGCTAAAATTGTCACTACCGAAACAGTCAGTACTGAAACATCTGGTAAAGTTTTGGTAGTGTTACGTGCACGTAAAGTAAGAGACACAGATAAAATAACATCAGTTGCTACTAGTTATTAGTACATATCTAGAAATGTGTAAAAAAAATAGTTTTGAATACTGAAAAAACTACAGGCTTTTTACATCAGTGGCTATGCTCGCAGTTAGGATCTCTTTATTGCTGGGGAGGGATTCCCAATGATTTTACAACATATTTGTGTAAAGTGTGCTGGGTATTATAGTGAAGGTTCACTGATGAGCAAAACCACAACAAGATTCAAAATCATAAATTCTGTCAAAACGATGATTCTCATGTATGCAACGCTGCACTACAGAATACTGAATTTATGTGATACGCTTTTCTTAATGTTATTCACTCTAACATCCCAGCAGTGTTTCAGCGGTAAACTGGTGGTGAACTGGCAAACTTCAGGTCTTTGATTTGTCTTCTACAGTCTTCAGTGTGCAGGACACTCAAACATAAATTTGCAAGTACATCAGGTCCTTCTCTCGTACTTTTCTTCAAGAAATACTTTCTGATACAACTTCCTGCTACTACTGTTTTCAGCTATGCACTGTGCTTTTGTCAATGAAATGCCATAAATTGTTATAAATTGCTACTAAATAAGGAAGTCTATTTGATATTACTTGACAAATCGATACAATTTTAGACAAATGTGTGATGATTTAGGTGTGCAATTTGTGCAGCACTAACTGGTGATGTATTAGCTTCCTTAACTTGTTAGCTACATTAGCCTTATAGCTCTATGGTAAAAATAAAGAAGTATCATCAGGGAGGCCAAATTTAATATTACTATTAACCTGTGATTAATGCTGTTTTACAATGGTGATCCGCAGAGTTTGTAGAGAAACTTGTTTTACAGTTATCTTTAGGACTGTGCGCTAAATAGCCACAGTGACCAGGTCAGCCTTTGTCTTATTGTTGACTGACAGCTGAAATAGTGTGCTGATTACGAGTGTATCAAGAAGACAGGATTAAGATGAGAGAAAGCCTTAAAGCCCCTAATCCACAACTGAGCAGATAAGACAGAGTAAACAATTACACAGATACTCCTTTGGCAGCTGCTGTTCAGAGCGCTGAGAGTTCATTTGCAAATTGGATGGTGTTTATTTAGTTGTCCAGTGTCACCCTCTGAAGCCTTTACACTACTCCTTCTTAAAAAAAAATAGCTCTCGCTCTCAGTGCGAGCAGATTGCTTGAGGCTTTGGCTTTTTATTAAACAAGCTTTGAAGTGACTGCAGTTAATTGGTGTGGGGAGATGGCAGCCATGTTGTTTTGTCATTTTGGCGTAGGTGTAGTAATTGCAGCGGGTGCCACTCAAACCTTGGATAAAGC